CGATGCCATGACTTCTGGCAGTACGCAGAGGAAATCTTCCAGGTCGATGTCTGTTGGCCAGCAACAGTCTGGTCATCGGCTTCACTCGCTGCCGGCTGGCTCCAGAACTGGGGTGGTTAACTGCTGCACTGCAGATGGGGTAGGGGTGGGCGTTGGAGTTGGAGTTGGAGTTGGGGGCGGTGAAACTGGAGGAGCAGGGGTAGGGTTGATAAACCCAGATGCATCGCTGAAGGGTGGATATACGGAGGATATGGACTATGCGAATGCTGCAAGGGCGTGGTCGAGGTTTCGCTTTATAAGGGCGGGATGGTTTAGTATTGATGAGGCTATGAGATATATTGTATAGTAAGTGCGAAACTCTCCATTAATGATGCTTTGATACTGATTTGACTTCCTTTCATAGCTACTACGAACATCTTGCCCCCCTAAGCCCCATCGTTATACCAGATTACAGCTCCCCAGCAACCCATTTGACCTTACTAACCGAAGAGCCCGTCCTAACTGTAACTATGCTCACTATTGCCTCCCGCCACATGCCCCTGACAGGTAATGGCGCTAGCTCTCGCGCCCACTCCATTCACGAGAAGCTCTGGTCCTACTTGCGGGGCATGATCGAGCGCCTCTTCTGGGGCCAGGAGAAGTTTGACGGTGGCACGCTACCATCCCAAATGTCCAAATTTTCTTTGAATCCCGGCCAATCGATTTCCAGCAGAGGCCATTTGAGGTCTTTGGGCACGATAGAGGCTCTCTTGTTATTGACTGATTGGCATCCACGCGCTCTGCATTTCCCACCCGGTGACGATGAGAATACACTGCTGGATATTGATCCGCAATTTCTCACGCAGATTCAGAGTGCAGATAACCATGAATATAACGGCATGGTCGGTTCCAAAAACCAGAGCCACAGTCTTAGTAACAGTAACAGTAACAGCCACAATGGCTCTGGTTCAGAGGGCCGTCTGGCATTTTACAAATGGCTCGAACCCGTCTGGCGCTCAGATCGCATGTCATGGATGCTCCTCAGCGCCGCGCAAGCTCTCGCCTTCGAGCTAGGCGTCTTCGACCCCAAAAATAACCGGCTGTCAAGTCCCACCAGCACCACGGAATCGTTCGCGGAACGGATCCGCAAACGGCGCGTGCGCAGGCTTATACTCGTCTATATATCGCAGAGCAGCGGCCGGCTGGGGATTCCTTCCATGCTTCCACTACCGCAGTGGGGGATCAATATGGATCCTGGATTGTCGCTGGAGGAGTCACGGTTGCTGGACCCCAATGAGGACCGCTCGATTGACCTTATGCAGGATTGCTGGATGGATATCTCAAAGATTATGTATACGAGCAACCAGGTGCTGTTTCAGAGTAAAGAGCAGACGTCGAATTTGATTAAAAGTGGGAGGTATAGAGAGCAGATTGATAAGTTTACTCCGTCGTTGAGGGAGTTTAAGGGGAAGTTTGATCGGGTTTCTAGTGAGTCCTTCCTTTTTCACACTTTTTTTATTTTTTATTTTTTTACTCCTTTGTGAGTTGGGTCACTAAACTATGCATAATAATAGTGCCGGCCCATATGCGACATATTCTCGCGATCGAATATGAATATACTCGTAAGTAAAAGGACTCCAACCCTTTCTGTATCTACGCCCAAAACATATATTAAACTCTATTTTAGGGCTATACATCAACTGCCTCGCGCTTCAAGCAGTCGTGGATAGATGGACGACAATGACTATCGAAGTCCAAAATTCATCTGCGACCGCACGGCCGAATTCAACTGGTCAGGCAAATACACCTACCCCTACTGCAACTACAACGGCCACTGCCTCCTGGCGCGTCCTCATGGAGCAATACCAGGTCAACGAACCGTATATACAAGAGGTGGTGGATGCGTCCAGGCGCATTTTGAAAACTGTTCTGGATGGTCTTGTCCCCGGTGACTCTCTGAAACATGCTCCCGTTCGCACTTTTTTCAGAATTCTATCGGGGATGATATTCATTCTGAAGGTGCCATTTCCCTTTTCTCCTGGCCGTTTTTGATGATAAGACCGCTAATTATAAATATACTTTTATAGACATTTACCCTAGGAGCCAAAGAAGATGAAGTTCGCATCTCCCTGGACTTGCAGGACCGTACTATCGAATCCCTACGTACCTGCGTCGTCGACGACGTCCACCTCAGCGTCACAATAGCTGATCTGCTCCAGCTCCTAACCTCCAATATCCGCAACAGATTCCTCCGCTTCGCGCCCCCAGACCGCGTCACAGGCGAATGCCCCAGTCGCGAACGAACTCCGCTGCCCCAACCGCAACCACAGCCATTACTCTCCTCGCCATTGTCTACACACCAATCGCCCCATCCACCCGACCAGCATCTAAACAACCACACCCTATCCCAACAGCCGGATCAGAACCAGAACCAGAATGACTTCCACAGTCCCTCAAGGTGGCACACCACCAACGCCCACACCACCAACGCCCCGAGCCCCTTCCAATTCGACGCAAACCATCACCACCACACACCATCCACCTCCGCCCCATCAACCCACACAGACCCGCTCGCAAGCATCCCCGCCAAACCCCTCAACTCCACCAGCCTAGGAATCTCCTTCATGCCCCCGCCTGCCTCCGTCTTTTACAACTACTACGACCCCAGCACCGCCTCGCTAAAAATGGACTTGGATGGCGATCCTACCGCCACAGCCACAGCCGGCGCAGGCGCATCGCCCATCACTATCGCGCCGGAGGTTATCAGTAACCAAAACACCAGTAACGGGAACGATGGGTCAGGTATGGCTAATGGTGCTGGTGCTGGTGCTGGTGCTGGCGGTAATGGGGGCGCGCAGTCTGACTGGTTTGCGTTACCGCTTGATCAGTTCTTTAATAATGCGACGATGGGGGTTGATCAGGGGCTGGGGGGAACGGGGCCCATGGTGGGTGAATTTGACATGCTTGAGGTGTTGTTGAAGGAGCAGGATGATATGGGGAATGGGTTGTCGGGGGCGTTTTTGTAGGGAGGTGGTTGGGTAGAGGAGGAAGAAATATAAAAATATAAAGGTGGTAAGTGGGGGGGGGGGGGGGGGG